GGCTTTTATCAAGTAATAAATCAGGGTGGCATGAAGTGGCAAAAGATAATCTCCCTTTTATCTTGACAGATGTAAAAAAGAATAAGTCAATTTTACTTGAAAATTTGAAAATATGGATTGGGAGAATAAGGATGCCATCTATTACATGATGACTGTGTATCAGAACCCTACTGAAATACACACTTCACATCTTGCATTTATAGAAATTAAAGCACAAAGCATTTTAAGCCCCAGAAAATGCAATATCCATTTGCCAGAGAAAACAGGAGCAGAAGCTGGAGACATAGAGATTAGAGTGGGGGAAAAATAAGAAAGGGAACAAATGCCAGAATGAAGAGAATTAATGTAACAATTAGAGCATCAAGAAATGGCACAAGGGAGACAAATTAAGATGCTTCTAAGGAGAAGAGCAGTCGATGAAACTGTACTAATTGTGCACATTTTGGCTGGGTGTGTACTTCTATTAGTTGTGTTAAGCAAAAATATAGAGACTTAGAAAGTCACATAGCAGCTCATCTTGGGCGTCTAAAATGGAGTAAATGAATGGATCAAAATCATTCTTTTCTTCTCAGACCAACAATATTGTATAAAACTATCAATATCTTTTGAGTTATTATTTGTGTGCTTTGTATGTTCTTGGAATAGAATTCACTGATTAATTGGCAAAAAAAAATGAAGGAAAATGTTCAGAATTTGCCTATGAGCCATTTCCATATGTTTCATGTATACTGTACTACTATTAAAGTCCCTTGGTGGTGCAAATGGTTAATGCGCTCAGCTGCTAACTGAAAGGTTGGAGGTTTGAGTCCACCCAGAGGCTCCCTGGAAGAAAGATCTGGATGGAAATCTACTTCTAAAAAATCAGCCATTGAAAACCCTGTGGAGAACAGCTCTACTCTGACATGCACGGGGTTGCCACAAGTTGAGCCGAGTCCACGGCAGCTGGTACTGGCACTACAATTAGTTGTAGTTGAAAGTTATTAAAATGTGTATTTTGTCAATCCAGAGTACTTTCATGGTGTTTTAGATGTTGAAACAATTATTCTCACTTTTTTTTCAAAAAGCTCACTGATACATATGTGTTCTGTATCCCACTTGTACACTGAGGATCTCTCTTTCAAAAGCTAGTGTTAAGAACTAGGAAGAATGTCTGCTTTAAAAGCTTCCATATAACAAAAAAATTAACTGGGAGTGTTCTTATTAAAAAAGTAATTCATGTCCATTGTGAAACAGACCAGAAAACATAGATGAGCAAAAAAGAAAACAAAATAACTCTTCTTCCACCATCCAGAAATAATCACTTGCTTACAGTTTGGTGCCTGTATGCCATGGCTTCTTTCATTGTGACTATCTAGCTACATGTACATAATTTTTAAAAAATGCTCACACTGTATACTCTGCTTCAGAACCTGCTTTTCAATTTAACAATATATGGTGAAAAGCCTTCTATGTCATTATTATTCTACGACATTGTTTTTAATGACTGTGTAATATTTCATTGTGTGGTTAAGCCATTAGTAGATTAACCAAAAATTCTTCTAACATTTTTACCATTATAGACGTGATGTAGTGAATACCACTGTAGGTAAGTCCTTGGGCAGATCTGAAAGGTACACAAAACTGTAAAACTTTTGGTATGCATTGCCAAATTGTCCTTGCAAAGTGCTAGTGCCCATTCAGATTAACCCTAGCAAGATATGAGAGTATCTTTTTACCAATTCTCCAGTAGTTTAAATGAGATCATGAGTACAAAGTACCTAACACAGCACCTATGTATACAGCAACTACGTATACCATTATATAAAATGTGGTTTCCTTTCTACTCCGTTCTCAGTTAGGGAGAGAATTCCACTTTCTAGATTTAAATACATGAGGGACATTGGTTGCTTGGACATTTCGTGCACTTGAGGACACCGAGGCTTTTAAATAAGGGAGTTTTCTTATTTTCTCTGAAATACAGTGTGACGGTTAAGGTTGTATGGCTACTTGGCTGCGCCATGATTCTCAGTGGTGTGGCAGTTATGTAATGACTCTGATGTGATCAGCCAATCAGTTGTAAGGGGAGTTTCCTCAGGAGTGTGGCCTGCATCCAATATATATATGGACCTTCTGGCAAGGCTCGCTTTGTGCTTTGGATCCTGCATCCAGCTCATCATCATCTGACCCCCGGTTCTTGAGGCTTGAGCCAGTGGCCTGCCATATTGCCTGCTGATCTTGGGATTCAACAACCTCTGCAGCCTGTGAGCCAGCAACTTGCTGTCTTACCTGCTGATCTTGGGTTTGTCGGCCCCCGTAGCTACGTGAGTCAGGAGAAACCTCCAGCCTGACACATGACCCACGGACTTGTGACTTGCCAGCCTCATAAACACGTGAGCTATTTCCTTGAGATAAATCTCTCTATCTCTCTCTCTTTCTCCCTCTATATAAATATGCTTCACTGGTTTTGCTTCTCTAGAGAACCCAGCCCAAGACACACAGAAACGGACACAGCCTATTCCATTTCCAAGCCCTCCATGGAATGTGATTAACAATCTTCAAATATTTGGAACTGGGAAAATTCCCTTATCTTTTTAACCTAAATTTTTTTTTTAACCATTAGGTAAAAGAGAAAGAAAGCATTTACTTAGGGCACTTGGTTGTCTGCCAACAGCAGAGATTCTCATTTCCCTATGTGAAAATAAACTGTTAATATTTTAGAGTATAATTTCTCAGTCCCATGCAAATGCCTTAGAGGTATATAATGATACACTAAAATCTATCAAAATAACAGGATTTGCAGTGCCATCCTCTCAGAAAACTAAGTTTCCGTTCATTTTCAGAACCTGGAATTTTTTTTTTTTTAAAGGAACTTATTTTTAGCACATGTCATCCTGCTGGTGACAAAGCAATACTGACTGCAAACTGCAGAATAATCATGGCAAAGAATAGCTAACAGAAAATCTTATAAACTGAAGAGCCTGGAAGGTCAGAGTATCTCACTGAAATTTCTTCCACCTTAAATTCCTTTCCAGCTGAAACAGCTGTACATTACCAAGACAGCATATTGGATTCCCTGAACAGCCTGGGGAGGAAAAAAGCCTAACAAAGAACCTTGCCTCTGAAAACTTCTTAGGAATTAAGGTTGTCCGCTTCAAATAGAACAAAATAAATATAACAACAACAAGAAAAAAAACCCTTACACAAAAATGAATGGAGAAACACACAAACAAGTGAGTGCGCAGAGACTCGCAGACCAATGTTCACTGCGGCATTATTCACAATTGCCAAAAGGTGGAAAGCACCTCAGTGATCATCAACGGACAAATGAATACACAAAATGTGGTCTATGCACACGACAGACTTTCATTCAGCCATAAAAAGGCTAACACATGCTACAACATGGATGAACCCTGAAAAAAAAAAGCTGAGTGAAATACCAAAACCCAAACCAGTTGCGGTCGAGGTAATTCGGACTCATAGTGATCCTAGAAGACAGCTGTAGAACCGCCCCACAGGGTTTCCAAGGCCCACGAATTCCAACAATACGAGGACAATGGTGGAAGCCTCCTTTAAAAACAATGGAAACAATGGGATGTTTATTCATTTCCTAGAGATGTCATGACCCAGCGTTTCTAGATGTATTTTTAATGCTAATAAAACCAAGGTAAATGGTGACTTTAACTTAAGAAATATCTCCTGTTGCCAGCTAAAGGATTTAAACTACAAATTCAATTCTGTTAGCCCTAAGACCACTTCCTTGTTCAGTTCATATTATCCTCTCATAACCCTTTTGAAAAGCTGTGAAGAGGAACCAGTGTTTTGTAAAACTTTGAAATTCTCAGAAATGCCTTAACTTTTTATCGTAGAATCTGTGGCTGGTATAATCTTCATCTGTACAGGCTCATCATGTCATATGACTTATCTACATTTAATGCAATTACGTTTATTATCTTCTTCAAATTATGACAAATGTACACAGTGCTTAATGGGTTTTTTTTAAATAAAAATGGCTTGACTTCTCCTTAAAGCGTTACAGGGATTGCTGGTGTCAAAGCTATTTTTCTGGCTTGAGGTGCTTGAGACAGTAAGTTCCCAGACATTTCAGAACACTGAGGCTACATATGGGATTCTTTTAAGTGGGTTCTAATGTTTCTATAACCTGACAAAACACTATTAATCCTTTGCAGCCACTTTTTAAAAAGTACTGAGTGTACCGCAAACGAGTTCAGCAATTCAAAGCAATTTTATGTGAAGTAATATTATCCTTACATCAGCATAAATTAGTTCTTTCAATAAAAGAGTTGGTGAAGCCTTGCAAGGCAAATAAAACATAATTGTTTATACTCTGTATGTCTGAAAGTAAAAAAATCCTCACTCGTTGCTTATGTTTTTGTGATGTGTATGATCTGCTACAGTGACAGTCATACACCATCTTCTCAGAGATGTCTGGTAGTATTTCAGAGAGATCTGGGGTGACCTGGCGATGATCTAACTCCAGCTGCTTAACCCTAAATTCTATTTAATAACAGTTTGTGAAATCAGCACATCTCCTCAGAGCTCTCCTGTGGGTAGCAAGTGATCAAACAGACAAAACCATAATGACAGAACAGTTAGAACGCTTTAACAGAAAGGGAATTCAGAAGACATTCACGAACAACTACAAAGCTGCACACGGAAGACCATATCCTTTATTAAAATCACCACAAATAAAAAAGCATCCCTGAAATACGTAGACACCGTATGTGTGCGTCTTCTAATTCCTGAAAAATTATCACAAATTTATTGGCTTACATTTCATGGCATGGCATATACCCCCAAAATTAAATCGGCCCAAAAGCATCCATGCAATTTCTGGATGAAAAGCATCCTTCGCACTTGTAATTCACGTGTTTTCACGTAGACATTTGTCTGTATTTAAAGGATTTGCTAATACATGTTTCCCAATTCAGGCTTCCTGCCCAGGGGAAGGACAAGTTCTGCGTCACGTTAAAATTTGGTAGCTTGTAACGTCTGTTTCAGTTTCAAGCGTACCTTGCCTTTTCTGTAGCAAGAGCCAGCCTGCGGATGTTGGATATACACCCAGCTGCAGCCTCCTGGAGACTCTGATCGGGAGACCCAACCATGTCCAGCAGAAGCTGTAACAAATGTGGGGGGGGGGGGCAAGAATCAAACAATTAACCGAAAGACAAAGTTAAGCTATGAAAATTATTTTAAACACTAAGAATTTTTTTTAAAGTCACAAAAATGTATACGAAATTCCATTTAGGCTAATACAAACATAAATGGTGCTTAATCGTGCGCAGGGATTTTTCAGAAGATTCTTATCTTTTTATTTTCTGGAACTGAGTTAGAACGATCATTTCTCTCTCCTTTCTTTGGTCATCTGACGACTATGGATTTTGCCTCTGAAATGTCTCTTGCATCCTTTCCGGCTTTCCCACCTTATACCATGCCTACACGCTTAGCATAGGAGCCCTGGTGGCACAATGGTTAAGCACTGGGCTGCTAACCGAAAGGTTGGCCACTCCACAGGAGAAAGATGTGGCAGTCTGCTTCTGTAAAGATCACAGCCTTGGAAACCCCATGGCACAGTTCTGCTCTGTCCCATAGGATCGCTGTGAGCCGGAATTGACTCGACAGCACACCACAATAACAGCAGACTCTCAACACATCTTCTTAGATTTCGTCTCTCTGCACTCCAGTCCATCTGATCATGTCACAACCTAATTCCGTCAGTCCTTTAGTAAAGACTGTCCTTGACTCCCAGTTCAGACTAACCAGAGCCCACTACTAACTCACCCTTCAAGAAGTTTTTCACTCTGGTCTCAACTGGCCTTTCCATTCTGATTCATCATAGTCTGCTCCTTCGTACACTCCAAGGCCACCCTTTCCCACTTCTGCCTTTACTGATGCCATCCCTCTTCCTAAAATGCCCTCTCAACCCCCTCTCTGACTTTCTAAATTTTATCCATCTTTCAAGACTCAGCCAAGTCTTCCACAAATCCTCCACAGGTTTCCATCAAACAAAATGCCATTTCTCTCCCCTCAGAGCTCTCATACCACTTTACTCAAATGTCTGTTGCTACACTTACATTTCTCCCTTCCTACCAGATACTTGTTTTAATACTTTCTCTCCTCCTCTCGATTATAAATGCTGGGAGAAACTTATAATGCACATAGTATCTAGTACTTAGATGTCAAACAAATGCCAGATAAGTGAATTAGAACTTAAAAAATCTATCAATTTTTATTTTAATTAATAGTTCTGATAAAAAGATGGGAAAAGTTTATTTGAACAGTCTAATTCCTTGCCAGTGAGCATTCGAGAACAAAGGTGGATAGTGTCAGAAAATGAGCACGACTTGATATGCCAAAGAAATACTGTAATGAGAAATAGGTGAAACATCTTAAATATGCCATACTCAGGAGCATGGCTTTTATCCTGTAGGTAACAGAAAGAAGTTATTTGAGCACTTTAATCAGGAGCGTGACATGATCATATTTGTATTTTAGAAAGATAACTTGTATACTAACTTACAGAATATGGACTGTAAAGAGATGAGCTGAAGAGTATTACAATATGTAATATTTATTAAGGACTAAATAAAGCAGGTACTATTGAATAGGGAGGAACTCCGGTGATGCAGTGGTTAAGCACTCGGCTGCTAACTCAAAGGTCAGCGGTTCGAACCCACCAATTGCTCCACAGGAGAAAGACGTGGCAGTCTGCTCCCATAAAGATCACAGCCTTGGACACCCTATGGGGGCAGTTCTTCTGTGTCCTATAGGGTCGCCATTAGTCGGAATTGACTGGATGTTAATAGGCTTATTGAATAGGGAGGAAGGAATAGATTAAACGGATGTTTAGGGTGTTACCCACAGGACTTGGTGATAGGTTGGACATGGAGAATGAAGGTCAGGGCAATTCTATTTCCAACAGACAGCAGACTAGATACGCAAAGTGACATAACTACAAGTATGATGTTGGGTGAAATACAAAAACATCTTTTTAAACACACTGATGAGTGGAAAGAGATTAGGGATCCCTTAGAGGCCATAAGCTCAGAGAAGGAGCCAGAGGGAGAAGCAGAGCACCAAAGCTAGCTCAAGTGGCATTTGTGAACTTCTGGTGAACTTCCGCTTTGGTTTTTACGGCCTTTCATAGTGCAGGGGATGGGGGAAAAGCTTATGTGCAAGGTGGGGAATCTATTAGGGGGCCTCTGAATAAAGGAGAGTGAAAAGAGCTACACCATCAAGAGTCACCAAAGCCCGTTGCCATCGAGTCCATTCTGACTCACAGCAACCCTATAGAACAGACTAGAACTGCCCCGTAGGGTTTCCAATTCTGTAATCTTTTCAAGAACAGACTGCCATATCTCTCTCCCAAAGAGTGGCGCTGGGTTGGAACCACTGACCTTCTGGTTAGCAGCTGAGCGCTTAACCACATCACCACCAGTGCTCCCTAAATAAGAGTTAACTAGAAATAGACTCTCTCACCCACCACAGGGGCAATCAGGAAAATTTCCATTGGTGGAGAGCTAAGGAATTAGTAAATGAGTATAAATCACTAAAAGCTGTTAGTAGTAGTAGCAGTAAAGCTGCAGGAATTAAAACATTTGTGTACTGGTATAGGGATAGACAAATAGACCAACGGCATCGAACAGAGGCACCACAAACAGAGCCATGCTTAAATACAAACTTAATTTATGATAGAGCTGGTATTGCAGACCACTAAAGATAGAGAGAACTATCTAGTAAATGGTCCAAGGAAAAGTCATTATCCAAATAGAAGAAAATGAAAGTAGTAATCTCACACCACACACAAATATAAATTTCATGGCTTAAATAAGAAAGGAAACATATAAAAGATTTAGAAGGTAGTATATGAGAAAATGGAGCCCTGGTGGCACAGTGGCTAAGTGTTTGACTGCTAACCAGAAGGTCAGCAGTTTGAATCCACCAGCCGCTCCTTGGAAACCCTATGGGGCAGTTCTACTCTGTTCTATAGGGTTGCTATGAGTCAGAGTTGACTCAGTGGCAACAGGTTTGGTTTCTCGATTTATGAGAAAATCTTGATCAAGCTGGGGTATTGGAGGATGTCTGGCTTCTCAGTTCCTTGATGTCCTCTCTGTCAGTGATTTTCTTCTACACCACACTCGAGCACCCCTCCCTACTTCCACCATCACACCTGGTCCTTACTTTTCATCATTCTCCACAGTCCAACCTGCGAACTGTGTGATCATAATTTCTTTTCCTGTGATTTGGCAATTCAACAACTCTCACTCATTTGATTTTTGACTTCATCTTGACCTCTAGTCCATTGGCCCGTACAGTTTTTCTTTATCCATCTCTGTGCTTTCTCCATAACCAGCTTAGATTCCACAGTGCATCTTTTCAATCATTCTGTTACCAATTTCTTAAACCCCCTTATGACATCCACCCAGAAAACCCTATCTGGAGATAAATCCAACTCTCTGTCTTCCCCGTGCCTTCACCAATAACAGCTCTATTGGAGAAATCATACAATCAGGCAAATAAATCCACTGTAAACCCAACCCCAACTGGATTCTCATCACTCTCAAGCAATCCAAATATCTCTCTAACGAGGTCAATTTCCCACTCTTTTCAATGCCTATTTCAAATCTTCTTCATTCTTCCTCAGTCTTCAATTCTTCCAACCCTCATTCTCAGCAGATGACCAAATGGCTCCTTCATACATGTGATAAAAACCATTAGACAAGAACTAATCTAACCAATCTACAAAGGTACCTCCATCTTAGCCATCTTCTCCTCCTCTCTTCCAGTTATAAAGGAGTCCTCTCTCCTGCTATCCAAGGCCAACTATTCTACTTAATTCTCCGTCCAGTCTCCTTCTCCTTAGAATATTTGAGCGCCATGTACCCCATCTCTTGTTACTTCATCTTTAACATCTCCCTTTCTACTGATTCCTTCCTATCAGCATTTAAATTCAAGTCTGTCACATTTTTTAAAAAACACTGCTTTGACCATCTTTCTTCTCTTTATAGCCAGATTTCTTGAAAGAATTGTCTGGACTCACTGTTTCCGGTCTTAAATTCCATTCAATTCACTCCAGGCTGGCTTCCGCCTTCGTCTGTCCATTGAAACCACCTTTAGTAACTTCCACATTGCTAAGAACTTCGCTGTTGTTAGTTGCTATGCAGTTAATTGTCACTCGTGGCGACCCCATGTGCGCAGAGTAGAACTGTTCCGCAGGGTTTTCAGGGCTGTGACCTTTTGGAAGCAGATGGCAAGGCCTGTCTTCCGAGTTGCCTCTGGGTGGGTTCCAACTGCCTACCTTTCAGCTAGTAGTCGAGTGCTTAACCGTTTGCACCACCCAGGGACTCCTTGCTAAGAAAAAGGGGCACTTTTGAGTCCCCATCTTATCTGACCCTCAGCAGCATTGATGTATTAACCACTTTCCCTTCTTGAAATCATCGCCGTTACTGGCTCCTTGCACCACACCCTTCCGCTTCCCCTCCTGTTTTTCATCTTCTCTCTCAGTCCTTTCTGACAGTGTTTTCTTCTTCTCCAGACCGTAAAGTGTTAGAGTTTCTCCACAAATTCCTCTTCTATTTTCATTCTGTTCTGTCTTCCTAGATGATTTCTTTCACTACCTGGCTTCAAATATCATCCATATGGAACTGTCTTCTAAAGTTATATCTCCACCTCAGAATATTCTTTTGAACTGCATGCTTGATGTCCAATACTTCCTAGACATCTCCACTTGGAGGTCTCTCTAAACCCTCCCAGTGTTCTGCCATATCAACAACAGCCATCACCACTTATTGCTCAGGACAGAAGTCTCCCTGCCTCACACTCATACCCATCCTAATCTCCCTTATGCCCCATCCAACTAATAATCATATCCTTGTGATAGCCATCTACTGCCTACACGTCTTTCAGAGCCATTCATTTCTCTCCATATCTACTGTTCCCACCCTTGTACAACTGGCCACCTTGCATCCCCTCCTCTTGACCCTACCAATCCATTATTTATACTGCATCCAGAGTAATTACCTAAAATGTGAAGTTCACTAGTGATAGGCAAGAGTCTAGCTAGAGAAACAAAAAGGAATGAGACAGGGTAGTCTTCTGAGATTCAAGAGAAGAGGCA